TAAAAAAATTGTATATATTGCGCTGTGTATTCGCCCTTTGCAGGCTGATTGTAATTTGCTAACTTGTTGACTCTTTAAAAAAAAAAAAGAAACGTCAAACGTAGATTCAGTTTCCAGTGAGCGAATTTGAAAGGACAGCAAATTAAAGTGGCCGCATCCAAAAAACAACTTAATGTGACAAATCTAGTCAAACTGCCATTTCTTAATTAAGTATCGAGAAGGTTATATAGTTAAGTGAATTTGAGTCCTTTGAAGACTATTTCAATTTAATTAGCCACTAATATGATCGAATGTGGCTGGGATTGAAATGGGGAGGAAAAACCAGCACTTATACAGGCGTTAGGTAGGAGGAAAATTGATTTCGTTTATGTTGAATAGACGGCATATAGAAGTGGTGACAAGCAAGTGATAACTTAATGTGACAAATCTAGTAAACAACCCTGTCAATCGCGCAAAATCATTTTAACCTGTTAATAAGACTGTTGTGATTGATGTCATTGTTCGCTGACAGTTGAATAAAAAATCCTTTCTTTTTCCAGCTGCTTTTTTGTTTTTTTTTGGAAGACAGATTCAAAATTGATTACATTTTCTGTGTACAAACCATAGAGAGGCTGAAGAAAGAAGTATATGTATGATGATTTACAGTAACCGAAGTTGTGTAACTTAGGGCCTGTTCAGTACCTTCAGGTGGGGTACCCCGAGTAGGTGAGGTAACCCGCCTCTCCATACAATCTCTCATTTTAATTTGATCACGTTTACATGATAGGTGGGGTGACCCGCCACATGTTACTCAAGTTCGTACATAAACTAATACGTTTTCAGTAAGCTGCATTTGTACGCTAGTATCGAAAGCTGAATTTAAAAAGAATAGCATATCTTTATTTAAAGTGCAACTAACCCCAAAAAATGTTTTTCGCTAAATGAAATCTCTTTATTTTTCTGATNTTTAAACATGATAATTTTACAGTGACGCTGATGTGGTCTTAATTGGGTACTTAAAAAGACATAAACGCGCAAAGAGTAGATTCAGTTTGTATTAACTTGAGTGACTTGAAACGCCAGAAATTAAAGTGGCCGCATGCCAACAAAATAGCTTCATGTGACGAATCTAGTGCAAATGTCATTTGTAAATTAAGTTGCAAGAAGGCTTTTTAAAATAAGTAAACCTGAATTGTCAGATTTGATCGAAGTTCCTTGGGGTTCAATTTAGAAGGAAAAACCAGCACTTATACAGACGTAGGAGGAGAAATTGATTTAGTTTAGTCTGAAAGGACAAAGTGGTGAAAAACAAATGATATCTTAAGGTGACAGATTTAGTGAAAATCCTGTCAATCACGCAAAATCATTTTTAACCTGTGAATAAGACTTATGAGTCGTATTCAGCCTGTCAGCACTTTATTTCAAAAACGCGCCAAGGGTAATTTCGTCATTAGTAATGTCATCTCCGTCAATCAGCATTTTGCATCGACTTTTTCGATTCAGAATTTGACGTTCCTGAGACGTCACTGCAAGTTCTCCCTCATTTTTAGCCCTGCCGCTAGAGCGCCCCGAAAAGGATGCTAGCGCGAAATTATTTCTTAGTTTCACTCGTCACCATTTGGTTACACATACTAATTATTTATTTATTTATTTTTATTTCCCCACCTTTCAATGTTACAATTATAATAAAAATTACAAAGATTTGAGGAGAAAATGCAGAAGGCCCAAAGAAACCACGAGGCTTTTGCAAAGTGGGCTTTCTCAACTAAATTGCATAAAACACAAAACACCTACAGGGTAATATCAATTGACCGGTCAAGGCAGAGTAACAATACGTAGTAATTAAGGTTAGCTTTTTTGGTTACCGTTTGTACTTTTTGTTACATTTTCCTATTGATTATTTTGACTTCGCCCAGACCTTCTCAAGTTCCATTCACTCGCATTTCAATTTCTTGAACCTGTACATTTCTTTTTGTGAAGAGTATTCCAATGAAAGCTACTCGAAATTCTCTTCTTCTAATACAGTAAATGACTGGGTTTATAAGGGAATTAAATATTATTAGACAGCTCGCTATCGCATAAGCAATATGTGCTGCAAAGTGGGCGTTCTCAACTAAATTGCATAAAACACCTACGGGGTAATATCAATTGACCGGCAAAGGTAGAGTAAAAATACGTAGTAACTGAGGTTAGTTTTTTGGGTTACTGTTTGTATTATTTGTTACCTTTTACTATTGATTATTTTGAGTTCGCTATCCCAGACCTTGTCGTCCTCCCTTCACTCGCATTTCAATTTCCTGTGCCTGTAGATTACTTTTTCTGAAGAGTATTTCAATGAAAGCTACCCGAAATTGCCTTCTTCTAATACAGTAAATAACAGGGTTTATAAGCGAATTAAGTGGTATCGGAAAGCCCGCTATCGCATAAGCAATATGTGCTGCATTTAAGGAATCGAAGAAAGTGTTTCTTATGAGTATTCCAATAACAACCGCAGGTAAATAAGTCATTAGCAAGAAGAACAAAACAGTCGTTGTGAGTTTAAGCGCTTTTTTCTCCTTTACGAATTTTTCCCGGTCGTTTTCTGAAACTTGGTGAGCAGCGATTTGTTTTTCGTGACGGCGAGTCTCGTAGTAAAGCACGATTTGACAGAAAGTAATGATGGTTGTACAAAAGAACGCGATTATGGTGTCATCATTCAACGGTTTGTATAGTTTGTCGTTAAGAAAACTAGAAGTTGCAGTCGAGAGCAGAGCCACAATCCACGCAAAAGCGGAAGAACAGAGAATGCGAGTTGCTGTGACCATAGTTGTATACCTGTACGGGTGCTTTATGGCAATATACCTGTCTAGGTACATTAGAGCTAGGTGTAACAGCGATGCCCTGACTAATACCGTGAGAACGGCCCTCGACAGTTGCCTTATGAAGCAGTATGTATTAGAAGTCCTGGCTTGTAAAATTGCTATGTTTACAGCGATATAAGTAGGCTGTCCAATCACTCCCATGAAACAATCTGTGTTTGCTAAGCATGCAAGTGCTACATTGGACTTGGTTTTCAATCTGGATTTTGTTTTCACCGCGATTATGACAAGTCCGTTCAATAAACTTGTAACGGGGGCAGTAATTATATTCATGATTATTAAGATAACAGTTACCGCACGAACCTCTGTAGAATTGGAATCAACAATCTCTCCTTCGCAGTGTACGCTGTTCGTGGCTGCGATAGAACTCATCCTGATTTGAACCATGACTTTTCGAAGTAAGCAGAAACTAACTTTACTGAATGCTAGCTCTTTCTTGACAATTGATGAATATTAGTACACAAGCAGTATGATTAACTTCTCCACAGGAAACACTTTTCTTTGCACAACACTTAGGAGACAAATGAGGGACTTAAAGCAAGGACTACGGAAGCTTTAGTTTCCACTTGACCGGAAGCAACTTTTTTTCCCTCTAAAGAGGTTCTTATAGATAATACCGTTGCGATGGCGGGGTAACGTCGCGTCAAAAGTGAATTAGCGTTCGTTCAATCTTTATCGCGATTATTCTCTTTTGAATTTAAAGTCGAGCAGTAATCCCCTGCGGTACTACTATATATGTATTTGTATTTGCGGCTGTCTTCGTCGCTGGCGCAATTTCAACGCATCTTTATGTTCTTTGTCACCAATTCAGCTGTTTTTTGTCGCTGTTTTAAGGCCATGTTGCCTGTCGAAATTTTAACCTAATAAATGTATACGTCAGAAACTGGAATAATCTTTAGCAGAAACGTCACTTTATTCTGAAATAAACACCTTTAGAGGCTGGCCACAAATTTTGTGTTAGAGACTGGTCTAATACTGAACATAACTACAGAATTGTGACAAACAAGCAAAGTCTCCTTAAAATTATGTGACGAGGTCCTCTTAACTCAAGTCAACTCATCACATTTTTAAACAAAGCCAGACAAAGTGTATCAAACGCTTACTGACCGCTTAACAGATGTGACAACAATAGCAGAACTCTCTTCATCATTTTCAAATAGAGGCCGCGGCTGCTTGATAGACGTTTAGTTTATAATTCTGTTTAGCAATTTTTCCGAGACTTTGGTTACTGGCCGCTTAAAAGAGAGCGGTCGTTTAATAGGTGGCCGGGTAAGGGACGTTCAACTGTACATGTAACTTTTTGCAAAATTATGAAGAAAGTTGTTTTGCTAAAGAAAGTGGTTTATATATTGTTATGTATATTCCAAAGTAAACGAAATTCAAAAGAGCCCTTACAGTGGCATAAATGTAAAGTGTCTTTTAAAGCCAGGAAATCAATTTGGCCACAAACAAAAGACAAGTTACTCTGACGTGATCAAGTGCATATTCTGTTAATTGTAAATCAAGAGAGAACTTTACTAAAGTGAATTTGAGTCTTTCAAGACTATTTCCCTCACTGTTAGTCCAATATTTGCTTTGGAAGGCGCACTTAAGTTGATTCTCATTTGAGTTGAGTGTATATATTCTTTCTTTTGACTGCTACACAAGGGTTACCTTGCAGTGGTGTCCATAGTTTTATTCAGTTACATTTCCTTTTAAACAACACTTTTCCTACGTTCATTGTACAGGGTTTCCATTTTTTAAAAAACCCGGGCTTATATTAGTTTTGGAAAGTGGAATTTGATTCATTTTCATTTGAATTCCTGTCAGCATAACCTCCTGCCTAGTAGCTTTCATAACCTCTTTTTAAGTAGTAATCAGATTCAGCATTATGAAAATCGACTAGCCTCTCAGTATAGACCTCATTTTTGTAGAGCTTATAGTATATAGATTTAGCCGGGGCTAAAAGCGAAGCTCTCGATAATATTCATAGTTTGTTCAAACAAAATATAAAATCGTAATGCTAAGCGGCGATGGCAACGCCGGAGAACGGTGAAAAACAACAATATGTCTAATTAGCGAGAAAGCAACTTTGCGGGTGCAGTACACTATTTTGTACATTTCTTTGCCGTTGTTTTGCACGACTACAACGTGAACCTTCCAGAAACTTTTTAGTTACACGTTTTATGGAGGAAATGTCGTACGTGTTGTCGTTCAATTTTTTTCACTGCCGCTCATTGTCACTTTGCATTGGTGGCCGCTAGCATTTCTCATTTTCTCACCGCTGCTTCAAAATTTCCATGTTGTTCTTCCACCAAAAAAGTGTCTCCTTTGTTTTTATCTCTCGCTCTAGATCTCTGTCGCCCTTATTCTCGTTGAGCTTCGCTTGCCTGCCGCCCACTTTTTCTTTTTCTGTCTTTCTCATACTCTATAGACATAGCTCCGGAAAGTCGAGAAATTTTACAGACTTTTTGTACGGTAGATGGTGGGAGGGGGGTGGGGATAGAGGTGCTGATGGGTGGGGTGCTCGGGGGCAAGTTTGTACATAAACCAATGCGTTTTCAGTGAGTGGCATTTGTACGCTAGTGTCAAAAGCTGTATTTAAAAACAATGGTATATCTTTATTTAAACACCATAATTCTACAGTGTCGCTGATGTGCTCTTAATTCGGTACTTAAAGGACATCAACGGAAAGAGTAAATTCCGTTTAAAAGTCAGAAATTAAAGTGGTCGCATACTAAAAATTAGCTTGATGTGACGAATCTAGTGCAAATGTTATTTGTAAATTAAGTTGCGAGAAGGCTTCCGAAGTAAACCTGAGTCCTTTCAGAGTATTCCAATGAACTCAAGTTGTCAGATTTGATTGAAGTTGCTTGGGGTTGAATTGAGGAGGAAAAGCCAACACTTTTACAGGCGTAGGAGGAAAAATTGATTTAGTTTATGTTGAAAAGACAGCAAGTTAAAGTGGTGACAAACAAATGATATCTTAAGGTGACAGATTTGTCAGATTCCTGTCAATCACGTAAAATCATTTTTAACCTGTGAATAAGACTTATGAGTCGTGTTCAGCCTGTCAGCCCTTTATTTCAAACACGCGCCAAGAATAATGACGTCATTACTAATGTCATCTCCATCAATCAGCGTTTTGCATCGACTTTTTCGATTCAGAATTTGAAATTCCTGAGACGTGACTGCATGTTCCTGCCCTGCCGCTAGAGCGCCCCGAAAAGGATGCTAGCGCGAAATTATTTCTTAGTTCCACTCGTCACCATTTGGTAACACGTACTAATTATTTATTATCTATTTTTATTTCGCCACCCTTTAATGTTACAATTATGATAAAAATTACAGATTTTAGGAGAAAAGGCCCAAAGAAACCACCACGCTTTTCTAAAGTGGGTTTTCTCAACTAAATTGCATAAAACACAAAACACCTACAACGTAATATCAATTGACCGGTCAAGGCAGAGTAACAATACGTAGTAATTGAGGTTAGTTTTTTGGTTACTGTTTGCACTATTTGTTACATTTTCCTATTGATTATTTTGACTTCGCCCAGACCTTCTCAAGTTCCATTCACGCGCATTTCAATTTCTTGAAGCTGTACATTTCTTTTTCTGAAGAGTATTTCAATGAAAGCTACTCGAAATTGCCTTCTTCTAATACAGTAAATAACTGGGTTTATAAGCGAATTAAGTAGTATCAGACAGCTCGCTATCCCTAAAGCAATATGTGCTGCATTTAAAGAATGGAAGAAAGTGTTTCTCATGAGTATCCCAATAACAAGCACAGGACAGTAAGTCAGTAGCAAGCAGAACAAAACAGTCGTTGTGAGTTTAAGCGCTTTTTTCTCCTTTACGAACTTTTCCCGGTCGTCTTCTGAAACCTGGTAGGCAGCGATTTGTTTTTCGTGACGGCGAGTCTCGTAGTAAAGCACGATTTGACAAAAAGTAATGATAGTTGTACAGAAGAACCCAATAATGTTGCCATCAGTTAACGGTTTGTATAGTTTTTCGTTAAGAAAACTAGAAGTTGCAGTCGACAGCAGAGCCAAAGTCCACGCGAAAGCAGAAGAATAGAGAATGCGAGTTGCTGTGACCATAGTTGTATACCTGTACGGGTGCTTTATGGCAATATACCTGTCTAGGTATATTAGAGCTAGGTGCAGCAGCGATGCCCTGACTAATACCGTGATAACGGCCTTCGACAGTTGCCTTATGAAGCAGTGTGTATTAGAAGTCCCGGCTTGTAAATTTACTATGCACACGGCGATGAAAGTAGGCTGTCCGATCAACCCCATGAAACAATCTGTGGTCGCTAAGCATGCGAGGGCTATATTGGACTTGGTTTTCAATCGGGGTTTTGTTTTCACAACGATTATGACAAGTCCGTTCAATAAACTTGTAACGGGGGCAGTAATTGTATTCGTGATTATTAAGATAAGAGTTGCCGCAGGAGCTTGTGTGGAATTAAAAGCAACAATCTGTCCTTCGCAAGATGCGCTTGAATTCATCTTTTGCCAGTGTTGTCGCTTTTCGAGGTAAACAAGGACAAGATTTATACCATTCAGACGTAATGGCATTACTCTCTCTTGACGATTGATGAACATTAGTACACAAGTGCGATTAGCTACATCGCAGTCATGACTTCGCTACCGGAAGATGCGCTTGAATTCATCTTGTTCTCAGCTTTTCTTTTCGAGGCAATCAAGAACTAAATTTATATCCTTCATGCGTAATGGCTTTACTCTCTCTCTTAACAATTGATGAACATTAGAGTACACAAGTGCGACTAGTTGCGTCGCAGGAAACACTTTACTTTGTACAGTACTTCAAGAGTCAAATTATTTAGTAGGAAGTCGGCGAGCAAACTAGCAATTAGCGTTCTTCTAATTACCGTAATGTGATTTGTAAGTAATGCGAACGGAGAAACACAACAAAGGAAAAATAAAGTGAAATGAATTGAAATGAAAAACGCGAAATTCTCTTCGAAAACTAAACAACTTACTCTTTCCCATAACTCATTCACAAAACTTTGGAAATGAGGAATTAACTTTGCAAAATTATAAAAATTGTTGTGCTACAGAAAGTGACTTGCATGTTGCAGTGTGTATTCGCCTTTCGCCGTCTGAATGTGATTTGGGGCTTAAACATTCATAAACAGAAGAGTAGATTCAGTTTATATATGGTAAGTGACTTTGAAAAGCCAGCAGATTAAAGTGGCCGCATACGAAAAACAAAATTCTGATTCTACAATATTTTCGGAATTTTGGGTACTTACCGCTTAAGAGGTGGCCGGTTAATAGAGGTTCAACTGTACACTTACAGTCGCTTAAAATGGAAATAGTAGATTGAGTTTAGAGTGTCTTTAAAAGGCCAGCAAATCAATCTGGTTGCAAACAAAAGATATGTTACTGTGACGGATCTAGTGGATATCCTGTCAATTGTTAATCAGGTAGTTTGAACTTGAGTCCTTGAAGACTATTCCAACTCACTTAATAATTTGCCTGTTATAATCGAATGTCGCTAGGGTTGAACTCTTAAGGACCGAATCCAAGTCCGTAATGAGAATTTTAAGCAAAATTTAGCACTTAGAAAGGCATAAAGAAGATAGTGGTTCATTTTACAGGGAGTGCGATCAGTTTGAACAGAAGGGCAATAAATTAGATCGGTTTCGATAAAAAGATATCTCAATGTTACGGATCTACCAAAAATCCAGTCAATCGCGCAAAATCAATTTTAACCGAAATACAAAAACAACTGTTGTGATCGATGTCACTATTCGTTCTCTCGCTTTGGGACTAAGCTTTGGAATGAGATACCATGTCACATCCGACATCTCCCTAAGAATAGATCCGACACTCCGCAAATTACTTTTTGATATTTAGAATTCAGGAAGATGACTATACTGATACGCCCACTTAAACAAAAAAAGTAAAATTAGCCAAAAATGTCGAAAAATAAATTCTTGCTTATTCGTTTCTACTTTTACAATTTTTTATTTTTATAATTTTTTCTTCTTTATCTTGTTATCTAGTTCTTATCCATATTACCATTTTTATTTCATTTATTTGTCAACTGTAACTTTTTCCTTTTTGAAACCGTCCAATAGAAATTTCCGATCTGCAGCCTTTCATAGTTTGTAAAGTCATTTTCACATTTCACCAATGTTGGCGTCACTGCTATCATTGTCATTGTGGTTCTTACTGTTACGAACGTCATTGTCGCTCTTGGTGTCACCAGTGGCAATGCCAATGTGATCGCTATTGTTGTGACTGTTATCATTGCCGTTGTTACTGCCAAGGCTGTTGCCACTGTTGTCAATTTCATTGTCGCTCATGATGTTGTTTATAGTTACTATTGGTATGAGTAATGCCGGCGGCATTGCTGTATTGATCCTTGTCGCAGCCAATATTGTTGACGCCGCATTCAACTGTGGGCTGGCAGTGCTGAGTGAATTTTCCTGTTCTAGAGTTTGACCTCGCCATTTCAATCCTTCTCGTGCTCTTTTCACTTGCACTTCAATTTCTTTAGCCTGTACGTTACTTTTTCTGAAGAGTATTTCAATGAAAGCTACCCGAAACTGTCTTCTTCTAATACAGTAAATAATTGGGTTTATAAGCGAATTAAGTAGTATCAGAAAGCCTGCTGTCTTTTTCGCAATGCGTGCTGCATGTATCGACTGGATAAAGGAGATTCTGATAAGTATAGTAACAACAATCAAAGGTGAAAAGCTCAGTACCAAGAAGAAAAGAACTGTCGTTGTGAGTTTAAGAGCTTTCTTCTCCTTTACGAATTTTTGTCTGTCGTCTTCTGAAACGTTGTGGGCAGCGATCTGTTTTTCTTGGCGGCGAGCTTCCTAGTAAAGAACAACTTGACAGAAAATAATGATGTCTGCACAGGAAAACACAATGATCGTGCTACCACTGGTTAACTGGCCTAAGGGATTGTTGTTAGAAACGAATGAAGTTACAGTGGAGACTAGAGCCACAATCCACGCAAAAGCGGAAGAACAGAGAATGCGAGATGTTGTGACCATATTTGTATACCTGTACGGGTGCTTTATGGCAATATACCTGTCTAGGTATATCAGAGCTAGGTCTAACAGCGATGCCCTGCCTAATACCGTTACAACGGCGTTCGAGAGTTTCCTTATGAAGCAGTACGTATTAGAACCCTCGACTTGTAAAATTACTATATTCAAGGCGATGAAAGTAGGCTGTCCAATCACCCCCATGAAGCAATCTGTAGTCGCTAAGCATGCGAGTGCTACATGGACTTGGTTTTCAATCTGGATTTTGTTTTCACAGCGATTATGACAAGTCCGTTCAATAAACTTGTAACGGGGGCAGTTATTATATTCATGATTATTAAGGTGACAGTTACCGCACGAGCCTCTGTAGAATTGGAATCAACAATCCCTCCTTCGCAGTGTACGCTGTTCGTGGCTGCGATAGAACTCATCCTGATTTGAACCTTGACTTTTCGAAGTAAGCAGAAACTAACTTTACTGAATCCTAGCTCTTTTTTGACAATTGATGAATATTAATACACAAGTACGATTAACTTCTTCACAGGAAACACTTTTTTGATTATGACAAGTCCGTTCAATAAACTTGTAACGGGGGCAGTAATTATATTCGTGATTATTAAGATAGGAGTTGCCGCAGGAGCTTGTGTGGAATTGGAATCAAGAATCTGTCCTTCGCAAGATGCGCTTGAATTCATCTTTTTCCGGTGTTGCGCTGAGACTCGCTTTTCGAGGTAAACAAGGACAAGATTTATACCATTCAGACGTAATGGCTTTACTCTCTCTTGACGATTGATGAACATTAGTACACAAGTGGGATTAGCTACGTCGCAGGAAACACTTTGCTTTGTTTAACACCTGAAGGAGTCAAATAAGTGAGAAGTCAGCGAGCAAACTAGCAATTAGCGTTCTTCTAATGACCATAATGTAATTTGTAAGTGACGCGAACGGGAAAACACAACAAAGGAAAAATAAGATGACGTGAATTCAATTGAAAAACGCCAAATTCGGTTGGAAAACTAGACAACTTACTCTTTCCCATGACGTATCCACAAACCTCTGGAAATACCAATTAACTTTGCAAAATTTAAAAATTGTCGTGCTACAGAAAGTGATTTACATGTTGCGGTGTGTATTCGCCCTTCGCAGGCTGAATGTACTTTGCTAACTTGTTGATTCTTTAAAAAAAAAGCAGAAAAGTAAAGAGTAGATTCAGTTTACAGTGAGCGAATTTGAAAGGACAGCAGATTAAAGTAGCTGCATCCAAAAAACAGCTTAATGTGACAAATGTAGTCAAACTGCCATTTCTTAATTAAGTATCGAAAAGGCTAGTTAAGTGAATCTGAGTCCTTCCAATTCCAATCTGAGTCCTTCCAGACTATTCCAATTTAATCAGCCACTGATATGATCGAATGTGTCTGAGGTTGAATTGAGGAGGAAAAACCAGCACTTATACAGGCGTAGGAGGACAAATTGATTTAGTTTGTGTCGAATGGACGGCATGTGAAAGTGGTGACGAACAAGTGATATCTTACTGTGACAAATCTAGTAAAAATCCTGTCAAATCGCGCAAAATCATTTTAACTTGTGTATAAGACTGTTGTGATTACATGTCGTTGTTCGCTGACAGGAGAGTGAAAAATCCTGTCTTTTCCAGACCGCTGTTGTTGTTTTTTTGAAGATAGATTCCAGGTTAGTTACATTTTCTTCATACTCGCCAAAGAGATGCGGAAGAACGAAGTATATATGATGATTTACAGTAACCGAAGTTGTGTAACTTAGGAACTGTTTTTTCTTTGTTTATGTGTCGCTATAATGTGGTTTACACACATAGTGTAACCAGCGGACATGAAACAAACATGGCATTAATAGACCCTCCCACGGTATTTTCAGCGTTTGGTGTGGATCAGTTGGCGAACTAAAATTCGTCGACGCCGCTTTAAGGAACGCGTTAAATCAATAAAAATGTTACATTCAGGGAAAGATTTGTTGAAAACTAGCGAAGATATAGCTCAGAAAAGTCGCGAAATTTTACACTTGGACGGCATAGAGGTGGGGGGGGGGGTGATAGGAGCAAGTTTGTACATAAACCAATACGTTTTCAGTCAGCGGCCCTTTTGTACGCTAGTGTCGAAAGCTGTATTTAAAAAGAATATCATATCTTTATTTAAACACGATAATTTAACAGTGTCGCTGATGTGGTCTTAATTCGGTACTTAAAAAGCCATAAATGCGGAAATAGTAGATTCAGTTTATAGTAACTTAGGGCCTGTTTACATGGAGTGGAGGACCCCGGTCTAGTGGGGTTGGTTTCTTTTGTTTTCACGCTCTACCTACCCCACTAGACCGGGGTCCCCCACTCCATGTAAACGGGGTCTTAGGTGACTTGAAAAGCCAGAGAAAAAAAGCCTCATGTGACGAATCTAGTGCAAGTGTTATTTGTAAATTAAGTTGCGAGAAGCCTTCTTAAAATAAGTAAACCCGAGTCCTCTCAGACTATTCCAATGAGCTCAAATTATCAGATTTGATTGAAGTTGCTTGGGGTTCAATTGAGGAGGAAAAACCAGCACTTTTACAGCGTAGGAGGAAAAATTGATTTTAAGTTTATGTTGAAACGACAGCAAGTTAAGGTCGTGACAAAAAATGATATCTTAAGGTGACAGATCTATTGAAAATCCTGTCAATCAAGCAAAATCATTTTTAACCTGTGAATAAGACTTATGAGTCGTGTTTAGCCTGTCAACACTTTATTTAAAAATCGCGCCAGAGGTAGTGACGTCATTACTAATGTCATCTACGTCAATCATTATTTTGCATCGACTTTTTCGATTTCGAAATTGAAATTCCTGAGACGTGACTGCAAGTTCTCCCTCATTTTTCGCCCCTCTACCAGAGCGCCCCGAAAAGGATGCTAGCAGGCTAGAGAAATTATAATTATAATTTGGACAAAACGCGCGTGAAATTATTCCCTAATTCCACTCGTCGCCATTTGGTTCTACGTACTGACTATTATTTATTTTTATTTCGCCACCTTTTAATGTTACAGTTATAACAAAAATCACAAACATTTTACGAGAAAATGGCAAGAGAGCCCAGAGGAAACCAAAAAGCTTATGCAAAGTGGGCTTTCTCAACTAAATTGCATAAAACACCAACAGGGTAATATCAATTGACCGGTCAAGGCAGAGTAACAATACGTAGTAATTGAGGTTAGTTTTTTGGGTTACTGTTTGTATTATTTGTTACATTTTCCTGTTGATTATTTTGACTTCGCTATCCCAGACCTTCTCGTGCTACATTCACTCGCATTTCAATTTCCTGTGCCTGTAGATTACTTTTTCTGAAGAGTATTTCAATGAAAGCTACCCGAAATTGCCTTCTTCTAATACAGTAAATAACTGGGTTTATAAGCGAATTAAGTAGTATCAGAAAGCTCGCTATCGCATAAGCAATATGTGCTGCATTTAAGGAATCGAAGAAAGTGTTTCTTATGAGTATTCCAATAACAACCACAGGTAAATAAGTCAGTAGCAAGAAGAACAAAACAGTAGTTGTGAGTTTAAGCGCTTTTTTCTCCTTTACGAATTTTTCCGGGTCGTCCTCTGAAACTTGGTGAGCAGCGATTTGTTTTTCGTGACGTCGAGTCTCGCAGTAAAGCACGATTTGACAGCAAGTAATGATAGTTGTACAAAAGAACGCGATTATGGTGCCATCAGTCAACGGTTTGTATAGTTTGTCGTTAAGAAAACTAGAAGTTGCAGTCGAGAACAGAGCCACAATCCACGCAAAAGCGGAAGAACAGAGAATGCGAGTTGCTGTGACCATATTTGTATACCTGTACGGGTGCTTTATGGCAATATACCTGTCTAGGTACATCAGAGCTAGGTGTAACAGCGATGCCCTGACTAATACCGTAAGAACGACCCTCAACAGTTGTCTTGTGAAGCAGTATGTATTAGAAGTCCTTGCTTGTAAAATTGATATGTTTACGGCGATGAAAGTAGGCTGTCCAATCACCCCCATGAACAAATCTGTGGTCGCTAAGCATGCAAGTGCTATATTGGACCTACTCCTCAATCGAAGTTTTGCTTTGACAGCGATTATGACAAGTCCGTTCAATAAACTTGTAACGGGAGTAGTAATTATATTCATGATTATTATGATAACAGTTACCGCACGAGCTTGAGTTGAATTAGAATCAAGAATCCTCCCTTCGCATCCAGTCATGACTTCGCTACCGGAAGATGCGCTTGAATTCATCTTGTTCTCAGCTTTGGTTTTCGAGGTAATCAAGAACTAAATTTATATTCTTCATGCGTAATGGCTTTACTCTCTCTCTCAACATTAGATGAACAGTAGAGTACACAAGTGCGATTAGCTGCGTCGCAGAAAATACTTGACTTTGTACAGCACTTAAGAGTCACATTATTTAGTAGGAAGTCGGCGAGCAAACTAGCAATTAGCGTTCTTCTAATTACCGTAATGTGATTTGTAAGTAACGCGAACGGAAAAACACAACAAAGGAAAAATAAAATGAAATGAATTGAATTGAAAAACGCGAAATTCTCTTGGAGAACTAAACAACTTACTCTTTCCCGTAACTCATTCACAAACCTTTGGAAATGAGGAATTAACTTTGCAAAATTATAAAAATTGTTGTGCTACAGAAATTGACTTGCATGTTGCAGTGTGTATTCTCTTTTCGCTGGCTGAATGTAATTTGGTACTTAAACAGTCACAAACAGAAGAGTAGATTCAGTTTATAGTAAGTGACTTTGAAAAGCTAGCGAATTAAAGTGGCCGCATACAAAAACAGTTTAATGTGACAGTGTAGTACAACTTTCAATTGTTCATTACGTACCGAGAAAGCTACTTATAATAAGTGAATTTGAGTCGAAGAATGAACTCAATTTGTCAGATCTAATCAAACGTGTTTGGGGTTGAATTGAGGAGAAAAAAAAAAGCGGTTATAAAGGCGTAGATTCCTTCCAACATCAGTTATGTTGGAAGGACAGCAAATTAAAGTGGTAACAAACAAACGATATCTTAATGTGACGGTTGTGCTAAAAATCCTGTCAATCGTGCATGTCATTGTTCGTTTGTTCTTTAAATCGTTAACATCTGACAGGCAATTCTGTGAAAAACTATGTCTTTTTTCCCGACTGTTTTTTTCCGTTTTGAAGACAGATTTCCAAGTTAATTACGTCTTCTCTGAAAGAAGGCCTTTAAGTCGTTTAAAGATGCCAATTTTGAATGATTTGTTTTAAGCTAAGAAAGATATAGCTGCGAAAGGTCGCGAAATTTTACAGACGTTTGTATGGCGGGGGGCAGGCTCGTACCCTCCACCATATAAACACCTGTACAATTACGCTACTTTGGGAAGCAATGCCTTCGCTCTCTTCAGAATACACTTTAAAATTTGCAAATTTGCTAATTTTACCCTTTCTAGCAGTCTCGATAAACATTCGCTAACTGGTTCCTTTAAAACATGAAACAATAATAATATTAATAATAATGAAAGAAGGTAGAACCGTTTTTTGTTTTCAGAAAACATAGACCAAATAATGGTCGTGTATAATATGACTGTTAAACTGAATAAATAGTAATAGAAGTCCGTAGCATGGAATCAGTTTATAACAGTTTTTGATTAAGAGTTTTTACATTCTATTTACAATAATTTTATTGAGTGTCTTTTGGATACATAGTGCAGTGAGAAAAATTGTTTAAGGTACGGAGAAACAGGCAACAAAAAACGTGCAACTTGTCTTGCAACATTGCCGCAAAACGAGTTGAATAGCGCTTTTGCGCGTTTTACCACCTACACCAAACCCGTGTTGCAACAAATCAGGTTGTCAACAGGTTTGAACGTGGGTGGTAAAACTTGCAACATCGCTATTCAAATAGTTTTGCAGCGATGTTGCAAGACAAGTTGCACGTTTTTTGTTCCCTGTTTTTCCGTGCCTTAAGAAAAATTTCAAAGTAAACGAAATACTACGAAATACTTGTAAAGTTTAAGATCCGTAAGTCATTTTCACTGTGTTTTTCTAAGGCCAGGCAGTAACGATGTTTTCGCTTCTTATTGCCCTTTCCTTGGTAAGAAAAGATCGGTCAGTTGGGAAAGACAAAGAAACCGAGGAAGTAAGATAAGACAACGGATAAAAGAAAAGATAAAAAAAGAAATAAAGGAAACATAAAATTTCATAGCCAACCGATAGATCGTGTTGTCCATTCTTTTAAGTGAAGATCGAAAGACGGCGGCCGCGACAGTTAAGTTTTATAATTATATATTTATTTATATTTATATCGCCACCTTGTTAGGTCACAGTTTTACGAGAAAATGGCAAGAACGCCCCAAAAAACACGAGGCTTATGCCACGTGGGCTTTGTCAACTAAAGTGCAAAAAAATCACCAAATGTTAATTGAAAGGCGAATCCACAGTAACAATACGAACTAATTGAGGTGAGGTTTTTTGGTTCCTGTTGGTACTATTTGTTACACTTTCTTGTTCAGTATTTTGACTTCGCCATCCCAGTCCTTCTCGTGCTCCATTAACTCGCATTTCAATTTCCTGTGCCTGTAGAGTACTTTTTCTGAAGAGTATTTCAATGAAAGCTGCCCGAAATTGTCTTCTTCTAATACAATAAATAACTGGATTTATAAGCGAATTAATTAGTATCAGATAGCTCGCTATCGCTAAAGCAATACGTGCTGCATTTGAGGAATCGAAGAAAGATTTTTTTATAAGTATTCGAACAACACTCACAGGACAGTACGTCAGTATTAAGAAGAAAAGAACTGTCGTTGTGAGTTTAAGCGCTTTCTTCTCCTTTACGAATTTTTTCTTGTGGTCCTCTGAAACTTGGTGGGCAGCAATTTGTTTTTCGTGACGTCGAGTCTCGTAGTAAAGGACGACTTGACAAAACGTAATGATGGCTGTACAGAAAAACGCGATCATAGTACCATCAGGAAACTTATTCTCAAGTTTGTTGTTCGAGAGAAAAGAAACTGCAGTCGAAAGGATTGCCACAGTCCACACAAAAGCGGAAGAACAGAGGATACGAACTGCTGTGACCATATTGGTATACCTATATGGGTGCTTTACGGCAATATACCTGTCTAGGTAGCTTAGAGCCAGGTGCAAGAGCGATGCCCTGGCCAATACCTTCAGAACGAAGTTATGGAGCTGCCTGATGAAGTAGTATGTATAGGAAGCCTCGGCTTGTAACATTGCCATGTTTTTCGCGATGTAAGTGGACTGTCCAAACACACCCATCAAACAATCTGTGGTCGCCAAACATGCCAGTGCTATATTGGAGTTGGTTTTCAATCTGGATTTTGTTTTCACAGCGATTATGACAAGTCCGTTCAATAAACTTGTAACCGGGGCAGTTATTACACTCATGATTATTAAGAAAACAGTTACGACACTAGCCTCTGTGGAATTAGAATCAAGAATTCCTCCTTCGCATCCAGTAATGTTTTCGCTACCGGAAGGTGCGCTTGAATTCATCTTCTTCTGAGCCTCGCTTTTCGAGGAAAACGAGAACTAAATTTATATCCTTCGGGCGTAATGGCTTTACTCTCTCTTAACAATTGATGAACATTAGTACACAAGTGCGATTAGCTTCGTTTCTGGAAACACTTTGCTTTGCACAGCACTTAAAAGTCAAATTATTTAGTAAGTGGCCAGCTAGCAAACTAGCAATTAGAATTAACGTAATGCACTTTGTTAGTGGTGCGAGGAAAAACGAAAAAACACTAAATACGAAACAACTTACTCTTTACCAAAATTCATCTATAAACCTTTGGAAATGAGTTAGCTTGAGTTATAAACTTTGCAAAATTCTGAAAAATGTTGTGCTACCGGAAGTGATTTGCATGTCGCGGTGTGTACTCGCAAGCTGAATGTAAAGATAAAATTTATATTGGTACTTAAAAAGACATGAACGGAAAGAATAGACTCAGTGTATAGTAGGTGACTTTGTAAGGCCAGTAAATTAAGAAAAAAAGGAAAATTAAATAAGAAACAGGTTGATGTGACGAATCTAATACTACTAGATTTCGTAACATGAAAAAGGTTTTTTTTTGCATGCGCCCACTTTAATTAACACTACAAGAAGGATAATTTAAAATATCACATTAATTGACCTTCTCACGGTGGGTGTTTTTAACCTTTGACGTGGGCCACCAGTTAGCGAAAATCCAATTAATGTGTATGAAGAGTCTCGCTTAAATTCATCCTACTTGCTTGAAGTTACCTGCGGTTTCTCGGCTTGAACAGAGGAAATCTCTCGAAGTCTCGTCTAATATATATCGTTTTTAATGTTTAGTTTACGCAGCCTATTTTACGTGGTTATCCTTGGACTGAGTTTGTTGAAGCTTGTTTTAACTAAGGAAAATTCTCTGCTCTGAACAAAAGTTAACGAAAGGCAGGTGTTTCAAAGACAGGTGAACATATAAGCTGTCGCTTCCTGCTGATGGACACTTTAATACCGACCGATTAAGAAAAAGGAGTTACTTTTGTTTAGCGAGACTCGGTTGATGTTAATAGAGGTCGTGGAAAATTTCTTTTCCAGCGGAAACACTCTTTTGTGAACAGCCATTCCAAATACGATATAAAGGTTGACTAGCATCTCAAAAGACTTCCTCAAGAACGAAAAGATTTATTTTTTTTTGTTAGTGGTGCACGAAAAGAGGAGGAACAAATTCTGTTTTGTTCATAAATTTCGTATTTGTTTGCGAATTTAAAGAAATATGTGTAGGTTGTTTTCCTTTTCAGAAACGAGACCTTGTTAAACTCTATTTAAATAAGCAAGAAATGAAAATTAATAAAATAATACAATCTTTACATGTCGCCCTAGCTGGCATCATTCTCAACATTCAAACGTTGTGTAAATTAATTATTATTTCTTTCTAATATTAACGCTAAAATGTGTTTCTAAATTTAAACTGATTTAAATCATTGCCTAAAGGTGACTAATTATTAGATGTATGTTCTCAAAGAGACTTCCGCATGGCAAAATTAATAGAAAATTATGATATGTATTGCAAATCATAATATTTTTTTCTCTTTTGGTTAAAATTTTAATTTGTTCCTCGAAAATTATCTAATTTATTATTATTATTTTTTATTAGCCATGGATTTGATAGCATCAGCAGTTGCACTTTCCACTAAACCTCCTGCAAGTAAAGCAACAGTATTTTAAGATAAGGAAAATCTTGGAAAACTGATGAACTTCTATTGTAGAAAATCGCTTTTGAAGGAGAACAAAGCCTGAGAAAACAACCTACATTTCCCGACGTCACCACTGGTTTCCACTCGAAATGACCTCCGAGAAACCAGCGCAGAAACTCCATACCAATGACGTGTCACTAACCAGGTCTGGGTTGTGCTTCTGATTGGTTGAGGCAAATTTCCTAAGCGGCACGAGCAATCAGAAGCAGTACCCAGGTCTGGGTAGTGATACGTCATCAGTATGGAATTTCTGCGTTCGTTCCTCAGGAGTAATTTCGTGGGGAGGCCAGAGATGGCGTCGCGAAATGTCGAATGCTTTCTCAGGCTAGAGAGAAAACACTGGCTATTAAAAATTCGACTCAAACTTCAACATAACAAATATTAGAAAAACAAACAAGCACAAACTTAAAACATTCGCCAGCTTAACTGATTGTTTAGCAAACGAAACCAGTTTAGTAGTTCATTTGGGTTTTTATCAGAAACAAAGCTGAGCAGGAACTTGCAGACAAATGTGTGCGATGCAAACAAATTGTAGTTGATAAGAAGATAAGAAATCGTCCCAAATTTTAGCATATTGAAGATAGGATATTTCGTAGTATACAGATTTCAGTTCTTGAAAGTAAAGGTATTATTTTCTTTATTGAAATTTGCTGAATTTACAACTAGCATGTCAGTCGTTTTTGTTATTACAGTCGTTCAGTTATTACGATCCTATGCGAAAAGCAAATACATGTAGTTCGTGTACTGTGCCTAGATGGGTTTTTGCATAAGTTAATTATTTTTACGGCTTTTTCTCCTCTGATTTTAAAGATAGCTTGTTATTTGACTTCAGTTGTTATGAGGTTACATGAACGTTGTTGTCGCCGTGTTCGATCTGTAGTTGCCGTTCTTGCAACATTCGACTACAACGCCTTCGCTGTTTTTCCGTTGCCTCATTCCCTGTCTCATGAGGTGCTGCACCTTGTTCAGTGTTCCAAATATTCGTTTTTCAGCGTTCTATTCTGACGCAGTAAATAGTTTGAGCGAGTTAATAATGACGGCAAAAACCGCCAACATCAAACTGCTATATGCAACATTTAATGACTGGATGATAGAATTCGTTATGAGCATTTGAACAACAAACAAAGGTGTATGTGCCAATAGTAATAAGAAAAATATGGTTGTTGTATACTGGAAAGCTTTTTTGTCTTTAAGGAATTTTTGCCTCTTTTCTGTTGAAACTTGGTGGGCAGTGATACATTTTCTATGTCTTTTAATTTCCAGGAAAATCACAATTTGACAGAAAAGTATGTTACACATACATAAAAATCCCATCAAACTGGTGATCACTAAGTAAATATCATTTCCTGGTAAAGGGAAAGGTAATGTTACAATGAAAGAAACAACCCACACGAAAACCGAACAACGGAGTAAACGTCTTCTGGTGACTAATGTTATGTACTTTAGCGAGTGCTTTATAGCAACGTATCTTTCCATGTTCATAAGTGTTACGTGAAGCATTGAAGCCACGCCTAGCACCTTAACAATGTTTATCGACGCTGCTAAAAGCGGGCAGTACGCGCTTGATCCTTCTCCCTGTAGCAGTACTGCCAGCGCTGTCGTGAAAAAGGGGCTGTCCAATCACCCCCATCACACAGTCGGTTGTCGCCTAGCAAGCGAGTGCAATGTTGCTCATGGTTTTCAGGCGTAGTTTGGTTGTTTACGGCGAATATGACCAGTGCATTTGAGATGCTTGTCATGGGCAAACAGATTAGGTTTATGATTATTAGATACACTATTACAGTACGTGCCTCTCTGGTACTTTCATTTAGTGTTCCGCCCAAAAAAGTAACAAGTTCGCATTCTGATGCTATTTCTTCGGTCTGGAAGTCCACGCTTCGGTTCATCTTCCTTGTTTTGCTTTACTTTCGTTCCTCGCCTGGACAGGAGCAACTCCTCGTCTAACGTTTGATACGTTTTAACGTTTATTTCACTCAGCCTGTTTTACGTGGTTTTCCTCTACAATGCTTTAGATGACCTAGATGTAACTGCGTGTGAAACTTGCTTCAATTAAGGAAACTATCTGCTGTGAACAGCAGTTTATGAAGTACTTGACAAAAGGCGCTAAGCATATAGGCTGGCACTGTGTCGTCAACTTAACTGGGTATTTTTTTTTAATAGGCTTTATAGCTGACGTAAATCTTTTTTGGTTATTGACAAAATTTTCACAATTGCAATAATTTGCTTTTCCTGTCATTTTATTAATTAAGTGCTCTTAGAGATAACATACGCGTCAATCTACAACAATTGCTTTTTCCTTTTTTTTTCCACTGGATTTGAGAACATTTTGTAGTTCTTCTTGACAATCAAAGACATTCAGGTGATGGGCAGAAACGTTTTAAAAGCAGGAAATAATGCGTAAAACCGATTGGCTGATGTTGCAGCAAAGATTGAGACAAAATTGTACCTCTTATAACGATGCGCAAAAACTTCGGCTCTCTCCACACATATCCAGATATTTTTTTTTAAAACGGGCGTTTTTTCTCTCCGTTGAAGCTACTCCTTTTGAATTTAGTTTAGTTTGAATTAAGATCGGCGTCTGAATTAATTCATCCGGTCAGGGTGTAGATAAATTGGGTCGGCCTTAATTCGAATTAGGTTCGTGTCATAAAATGTTCGGCGTCTGAACCCGGCCTAAGAATTTGAGAAGCCACTGTACGTATCTTCAGTTCCGTTCGGAGTGCCATGAAAGGGAATCTTGTTTCACTATTAGTGAATGGACATCTCCTCCTACGCGTGAGAATTCATAGAATTTAGGTTGAACCGTGAACGTACGCTGCTACTACATTTGCGAAATTACTTTCTTCGTGGCGCGCTTACGTTTAGATTTTAGGGAGCCTGAGCTATACGAAGATGACGAAGATATTTAGACCTGGTAACGAAGGTGGCAAAAAGGTGTTTTTCTGGAACTGTATAAAGAAGAAGAAAGTTAACTGACGTCCCACACAAAACGTGAAATAAGGGACTTTCACGTCGTGGACGCGCAATGGCGGCAAAGAAATGTAAAAAAGAGTGGTGTAAGTGCTACAATTTGTTTTGCTAAGTGCGGCCGTTGCCATTTCTCAGGAAAGGTGCTTTCGATAAGGCTTGATCCATGCCTGGCTCTCTTATCGTATTCACCCGGGACT